TTTTTTTTTTTTTATCACAACCATAGTGTATCTTTTTTTTTTTTTTTTTTTTTACATGTATTCCCCATCCCGGTCCCCCCTCCCACCTCCCTCTCCACCCAATCCCTCTGGGTCTTCCCAGTGCACCAGGCCCGAGCACTTGTCTCATGCACCCAACCTGGGCTGGTGAACTGTTTCACCCTAGATAATATACGTGTTTCAATGCTGTTCTCTTGAAACATCCCACCCTCGCCTTCTCCCAGAGTCCACAAGTCTGTTCTATACATAGGAGTCTCTTTTTCTGTTTTGCACATAGAGTTATCGTTACCATCTTTCTAAATTCCATATATATGTGTTAGTATACTGTAATGGTCTTTATCTTTCTGGCTTACTTCGCTCTGTATAATGGGCTCCAGTTTCATCCATCTCATTAGAACTGATTCAAATGAATTCTTTTTAATGGCTGAGTAATATTCCATGGTGTATATGTACCACAGCTTCCTCATCCATTCATCTGCTGATGGGCATCTAGGTTGCTTCCATGTCCTGGCTATTATAAACAGTGCTGCGATGAACATTGGGGTACACGTGTCTCTTTCAGATCTGGTTTCCTCGGTGTGTATGCCCAGAAGTGGGATTGCTGGGTCATATGGCAGTTCTATTTCCAGCTTTTTAAGAAATCTCCACACTGTTTTCCATAGTGGCTGTACTAATTTGCATTCCCACCAACAGTGTAAGAGGGTTCCCTTTTCTCCACACCCTCTCCAGCATTTATTGCTTGTAGACTTTTGGATAGCAGCCGTCCTGACTGGTGTGTAATGGTACCAAGAAATGAGGGCAGTAACACCCCCTGCCTGGTTCCTGTTGTTATGAAATGAGGTGAAGCAGGATTAGCAGGTAGGAATGTGAGGGTCTAGGCAGACCTGGAGTTCCAGTAACAGGCAGGGAGGGGAAGGGGACCACGTAAAAAAAAAAAAAAAAAAAAAAAAAAGACACTTGCACCTTGGAAGAAAAGTTATGACCAATCTAGACAGCATATTGAAAAGCAGAGACATTACTTTGCCAACAAAGGTCCATCTCGTCAAGGCTATGGTTTTTCCAGTAGTCATATATGGATGTGAGAGTTGGAGTATAAAGAAAGCTGAGTGCTGAAGAATTGATGCTTTTGAACTGTGGTGTTGGAGAAAACTCATGAGAGTCCCTTGGACTGAAAGGAGATCCAACCTAAAGAGATCAGTCCTGAATGTTCATTGGAAGGACAGATGCTGAAGTTGAAACTCCAATACTTTGGCCACCTGATACGAAGAACTGACTAATTGGAAAAGACCCTGATGCTGGGAATGATTGAAGGCAGGAGGAGAAGGGGACGACAGAGGATGAGATGGTTGGATGGTATCACGGACTTAATGGGCATGAGTTTGAGTAAACTCCGGGTGTTGGTGGCGGACAGAGAGGCCTGGTGTGCTGCGGTCCATGGGGTCACGAAGAGTCTGACGTGACTGAGCGACTGAACTGAACTGAAATGAGTTGGGTGATATCAAAGGAGAAATAGAGGCAATAAAGGAGGGATCTGAGAACCAGAGCTAATCTCTAAACTTCCTGAGATGTGAGAACTACTCTATCTGCTTACATGAAGACTTCACTGCCCCTTGGTGGTGTTAAGTTTCTGTGCCTAGTCATTCAGTCATGTCTGACTCTTTAAAACCTCATGGACTGTAGCCAGCCAGGCTCTTCTGTCCTTGGGGATTCTCTAGGCAGGAATATTGGAGAGGGTTGCCTTGCCCTCCTCCAGGGGCTCTTCCCAACCCAGGAATCAAACCCAGGTCTCCTGTGTTGCAGGCGGATTCTTTACCATCTGAACCACCAGGGAAACCCTATCTCACCACAATATTGGGTTACTGGAATTTCTCCTCCAGGTATAGATTGCCATTCTCTGCTAACTAAAGAATTTTTCTGAATTGTGAAAAATCACCATTTTCTCTCAATTGAAAGATTTCATCTCAGAGTTTTTTTATGTGTTCATGTGGATTCATAGATTTTGGATAGAATTTCCCAAATGGTGCTCCAAATGGGAAATACATAAAAATAATGATTCTTCTTATTTGGGGGATATCAGGACTTGGGTCACTTGCTTCTGGGTCAGTGTGCTTCTTTCTACATATCCATCATTGTCTCTGTACCATAGTGTGACAGAGGTGCAGAAGCACTGGCCATGGTGATGTGGTTCATCAGATGGGTCTGGGATCCAACCAGATGAGGGGGAATTGTGTGTGTAGTTTGAATTGGGCTTTTTTGAATTCCTGGGAATGTAGGAGAAAAAAATGAAGTTGGCTTCAAGGAAAGGATTTATTGTGTGTTTATTGTACACAAGGATCCTTTGTCTCCTTCTTCAGATGGTGACTTTTTGCTTAGATACTATTTTCATCTTCTACAAACTTCTGTAAAGGGTTTGAAATGGCTGGCAATAAAAGATTCACAAATGTATATACATATGAAAGGAAAAGTGTTCAGTCATGTCCAACTCTTTGGGACCCCATGAACTGTAGCCTGCCAGGCTCCCCTCTCCATGGAATTCTCTAGGCAGGAATACTGGAGTAGGTTGCAGTCTCTTCTTCAGGGGATCTTCCAAACCCAGGGATCAAACCTGGGTCTCTTGCATTACAGACAGATTGTTTACCATCTGAGTCACTAGGGAGACCAGTATGCTGTGTGTGTGTGTGTGTGTGTGTGTGTGTATGTGTAATAAAACTGTTAGATACATCCTCTTTGAATTGCTTTAGATTTTAGGGCCATGAAGTCTGAACCTAACTCCAGAGCTTCTGAGAGCATTAGTAATGGGTCTTCAGTGGGTACCTAAGGAAAATGCATTGGCACAGCTACCATGGAGCCCTTCATTTTGATCTTCCCTCTGCTTTCCAGACTACCTGCCAGGCTGGGTTAGTCATAAAATGCCCTCATCTGGAGTGGTTTAGTTGCTCAGTCATGTTTGATTCTCTTTGACCACATGGACTCTAGCCTGCCAGGCTCCTCCATCCATGGAATTTTCCAGGCAAGAATACTGGAGTGGGTTGCCATTTCCTTCTCCAGGGCAACTTCCTGACCCAGGGATCAAACCCGGGTCTCCTGCATAGCAGTCAGATTCTTTAATGACTATTCTTTAATGATTCACCTCATCATTCTTTAATGAGCCACTAGGGAAGCCACCTGGGGAGACACAGATTATTGAAATGGATGAATGTTGTTCATCAAATGATGCAAGTCTGCTAAAAACCAGTAATTTGGATTTTTTATAATTGACATTTTAGTTTAGTTTTTTTTTTTTTTTTTTTACAAACAACAATGGCAAGCCAAGTGACCTAAAGGCTAGACATAGAAGGGGCTGGAAGGACCCCTCCCCATGAACATGAAGTTTGTAGTATTGTAGGATGCACAGTCAAGTCAGTGGCTGTAATAAATTGTTTTCTGTAGATATAATTGGAGGGAGGTCAGACAACCCTATTTTTCTCCACTTATGATTAGAATTTATGCCTTCAGAACTCCATCCTCTTCACTCTGAGTTTTCCTGATACCATGGCAGAGGCGGGGAGAAACAGGAAAAGCACATGGGTCTCCATCCAGATCATGCAGTTTGGTTCCCAAGGGCTCCTAACCACAGAGTCACAGTTCTGGTTGTTTGTTCCTCCTGCCTGCAGCTGGGGCTCTCAGATTCCGAGTACAAACTTCTCCTCTCCTTCTCCAGGATAAGCAATACCTTCCTGGGAAACTTTAGGACAACCACTTACCCTGCCAACCTTATATTTCTTATCTTAAAGAACAGCCAGTGTTAACTCAGACAAGCATCTCAACCTTCTCATCCCAGCTCCCTTTTGGTCAAAATTTCCCTTTACTTCCTGCAAATCATTCATGCTATTCTTTCTATTTGTTAAACAAGCCTATAAAGTCAGTATTAAGTCTTAGAATTGTATAAAAATATTCAGGTATTCTTCCCTGTGTTTCCCCAGCACCCTATGCAGATCAACATGGATTTGTACCCATCTGAGATCATAAGCTTCAGAGACCTTGGCCCAGACTGGGTGAATCTGCAAGTCCCTAGCACCCCACCCAACTTTCATAGCAGGCAGACACTAAATGTTCATTTCATTCTTATTGCTTGATACTGTCTTCCAGGGTGTCATACTTTTCCTGATAAAGATGGATGCTTAAATCAGCATCAACCAATGATTTTGTTTTCTATTCTACCTATTGTCTTTTTAAACCAAGATCATTTCCCAAAAGAAAATCATCTCAGGGGATAATGTAATAATTAAGAGAATGTTCATGGAACTCAGCACAGGGCCTTACACATAGTACACACATTGTAAATGGAATCTGGTGTTGTTATAATACTTAACCTTTGGAATGGGCATTTTTAATACTTAGTATAATGATAGAAAGATGACTGTAAATTGGGGGCAAGCTTAAACATGTCATAATGTCTCATGACATGGGCTTCCCAGCTTCGTGATTTAGGCTTTACAGTGTCCATCAAGTTGTTTCTTCTCTTCCTGTGCCTCACTGTCTCCATTTGTAAAATTAGATAATACTCTTACTAGATATGTTACACTGAATTTGTATTTAACCACTTCTTTATCCCTGCTTGGATAGCTGAAGGGACTGGATTCCTCATCTGTGATGCCTGCTCACTCATCTCTCTAGTAACATCTGCTGACTCCTTAAAGTTTGAGATGCAGCTCCTACTCTCTGAGCCTCAAATAGTCTCCTCTGTTCAAAACAGTAATGCCGGCCTAAAAGAGCTGCTGAGTGTGTCACAAGAGCTGATACCTAGAAAGTTCTTATCAGAGTGTTTGGTGCATGCAATAAACATCATGAGGACCACCTATAAGTGTATTTATTTGGAAGGGAAAGCATTCCCTGCTATTTCAACAAGTTTCAAGGAAAGGGGTTTATTCCTAACAAATCAATAGAGTTTATCTTTGAGAAGTATCCTTGACACAAAGGCCTCTGTATTTTCGCTATTTCAGACATTTCTACTTGTGATTGGTGTGGTCGGCGTGATGGTGGCTGCAGTTCCTTGGACTGCTATACCTGTGATTCCCCTTGGCATCGTTTTCTTTTTTCTTCGGCGATATTTCTTAGAGACGTCACGAGATGTGAAACGCCTGGAATGTACAAGTGAGTACAGGGCTCTCAGGTTGGGAGGGCAGTGCAGTCTGTCTTCCATTGATACTGCAATTAACCAGACCTCTGAAACCCTGCAGACTGTTCTGTGGAATTCCTCACTGTTAACATTAGGTGATTGAAAGTTCTGGCCCCTGAGAGTAGATTTGGCCCTTAAGGCAAATGGGCTGGCAGTGGGTCAGCTGCACTTTGCATTTTAGCCCAAGGAGAATGGATGTGAGCACTATGAGGACAGGGACCATTTCTGTCATGTTCATGACATACTTCCTAATGCTGAGTATCCACTCTATTAATATTATTCTTGAAAGTATTTCATCATGTTGAAACTAATGTAGAAGGAAAATAGAGAATTTTTCTTCTCCTAAGATTACCAGAAATGACAAGGAAAGGAAAAGAGACCTCAGGAAATATATGTCAGAGGTAATATATTTAAAAAATGCATTCTTTCACATGTTCCAGTAAGTTGCAGTTGTTAAATGTGTTGAAAAGATCTGTGTTGGTCACTCAGTCATGTCTGACTCTGCGACCACATGGACTGTAGTCCACCAGACTCTTCTGTCCATTGAATTCCCCAGACAAGAATACCCTTCGCCAGAGTATCTTCCTGACCCAGGGAATGAACCCAGGTCTCCTGCATTGCTGGTGGTTTCTTTAATGTCTAAGCCACCATGGAAGCCCTATTGATAAGATAAGCCCTGTTATTTTCAAGTTTGCTGTTTGTCATTGTCAGTATTTGGGGTGACACCACACTGTTTGTGTACCCCTTTTTCAAAGCTATTCACATAAATGATGCTGAAAATAATCCCCTAGGAGAACTCAGGAGGGGGATCTGTTCAGTATGCATTTAGTTGATTACTTCATTCACCTTCCTAGTTTTATAATAATGGGGAACATAGATGTCCCTGGTGGTCCTAAGGTAAGACTCTGTGCTTCCACTGCAGGGGCCACCACTTCAGTCCCTGGTTGAGAAACTAGATCCTGTAGGTGCAGCAAAAAAACAGAATAATGGGGAACGTATTTTATGATTAATTAGCCTATTCTATAGGTAATCACAGATGATGAAATAATCAAATTTCTCTTATTAATGCACACATTTCATCAATGTTAAAAATAAGGAAAATAGACTGTTATATATTTTTTAAAAGTTATAAAACAATAGCCAAAAATTACGGAGAGAATATGTTTGTATCAGAGACCTCAACCATAAATAATTATTGCAAATTAATACCAACTTAACCTTCTAGAAACCAAGCCAAGAACAGACGCATATTGAGTCTCATGCTTCTCTGTATCTACTAAGTGGGAAAAAAATCTCAGTTCATCCAGTCAAAGGAGTTTTTATTGTGGCATTTCTATGTTTTGTTTTTAATAATAAACACTTGAGGTACTTATCTTTATTTGCAAAAAGGATAGTCATCATCACTTTCATAAAATCTGTAGAAGACATTTTCACTCATCAGGAGAAGCAGCCAACTTCCTGTGAGGTCGAGTTTGGTGAGGTGTTAGGATGGATGGGGAGCAGTAGAGTCAAGTGTGTGTGACCTTATACCTATATGACTGAGTAGGATGGTAGGACCTGGGGAGGCAGAAGAGGAAGTGATGAGCTCCATTCAGTCTTCTGTGTAGACAGGTTTTCAGACATTTTATGATTTGAGGCCACTCATGAAATGGAGTCATTCAACAGTCTTGTTGCAAAGCAGGTCTCTGGTACATTAACTGAATGACTATACTAGATACCTGTAACTAGCACATTATTGTAAATCAACTATAATTCAATATTTTTTTTTAGAAATTGTGGACAATTTCCACCTGATGAGATGCCAGAAAAATTTGGAGGGAGGTATGTTTGAGAGGATCTTGATGAAAGAACAAGAATTTCCTTATCTAAATCTAGCTGTGATTTGACTTTGATCAAAGATAGTTTCAAAGAGAATCTCTCATTCCCAGGTCTTTAAAGTGAAGCTTGGTGTGAGCAGGAGTTTAGGGTCACATGGAGGATTCCCCTTGGGCAGGATGTGTGACCACAGAGCCCGGGAGGCAGTGGTTTCCTCGCCTCCAGCCTCGCTGACTTTCTCTGTGTGTGTCTGTCTCTGCTTCCACAGCACGGAGCCCTGTATTTTCCCACTTAGCATCTTCTCTCCAGGGACTCTGGACCATCCGGGCATACAAAGCCGAACAGAAGTTTCAGGAACTGTTTGATGCACACCAGGTTTTGCACTCAGGTCTGTAAGTTCCTGGAGATGATTTCTAAGGATGGAATGTGCTGCCTTCTGAGGCTGACTCCCTCTCAGGTGGCCTGGCTGGCCAATCCCTCTCTCTGTGCCTCCCCTTATCCCCCTCTGCACACCCGCCTTCCCCACCCCTTCTTCTCAGCATCCCCTCTGTGCTCCCCTCTTCTCCGTCATCCCCTGCTTTTCTCCCCTGACTGGCTCGCATTGTCCTTGCATCACTGTGCCCTGTGGACTTCTGTCTCTTTAGGGCAAGATTCAGCAAACTTCTCTTTCTTGTGAAGATCCAGATAGAAAATATCATAGGGTTTGTGTGCTATACTGTGTCTGTTGCAACTACTCACCGTTGCTGTTGTAGCATAAAAATAGGCAAAGATAATACATCAGCAAATGGCAGTTTCTGTGTGCCAGTAAAACTTTATTTTTAGAACCAGGTGGTGGCTGTTTTTGCCCTCCAGACTGTGGTTTGCTGACTCTTTTCAGAGTGTGGAGGGTTGTAGATGTGATTGAGGAAATAATTTCCACCCACTTGATTATGTTTTTATCAGTGAAGTTTTTTTTTTCCTAGGTAGAAAATTCAAAATTTCCTCTAAGTCTATAAAATCCAAACCAAACTTTCCAGTATTTTTTGTATTTTGAAGATAAAATTGGTATTTTGAAAGTCACATTCAGATCCTATTAGCTGATGGTCATGTAGACACTGGCTCCTAAGAATAAACACGGCAGGGCCCTGTAGTGAGGGCAGAAGGTGCTGTAAACAGTGTGAGCTATGCTGTCTGCTGTCATAGAGCTGGGAGCAATCAGCCCTGTGAGAGGATGATCTTCATGCTGAGGCCCAGCACTGCAGGAAATGCTTTGATGAGACGATTTTCCATCTTCCTTCTTGTGATCATATTTCTGTTGATAACCTGTGGGTTGAAGTTTTTAGTGCATGCTTCCTGGACTGATTCCTCTGTGTCCCATATGTTGTCTTGTGTTAGACCCCAGTTTTCTGGCATCTTCAAGTTCCTTGAGTGTGTAACTTTGCTGTCTTACCTGTGTAAAATTTTCTGTAGCTCAACTGAGAAAATGCTATCCCTCATGAGAAGCAACTAACATGATTTTTCTGTTTATGTATTACACTTATTATGGTTCACAAATCCAGAGGCTTGGTTCCTGCTTTTGACAACGTCCCGATGGCTCGCTGTGTATCTAAATGTCATCTGTGCCATCTTTGTCACTGTTGTTGCCTTTGGGGCTCTGATTCTGGTAGAATGTAAGTACAGATGTGAATATTTGTGGTATGTTTACAGGATGTAGCTTTATTTGTAGTTATTAAACTCTTGTCATCTTGTCCAGTATATATATTCTTTGGTTCTAATGAATTGTATTAAAGTGTCTGCAGTATGTGACTCCATGTGAAGTCATTTATGTCTTAATGAGAATTTTTATCTTTTTTTCATTTGCTTATTTATTAACAGTAAGTCCTTGTTGAGGCCATTAAAAAAAGTTTGATTGTCACGTGGTTGATTTACAATGTGTTAGCTTCAGGTGTATAACAAATGAATCTGTTGTACATATATCCACTTTTTTAAAGATTCTTTTTGCATACCCATGAACATTGGGGTGCATGTATTTTTTAAATAATTTCCATTTTGATTAATACTTCAAATGAATTGTCTTTTGGGAAAGAATTTCTGTTTTTGACTTTTGGAATCCTCAGGAGCAAAGACCAGGTATGAATGTACCTCTTCCAGCAGACCTGTGGTGCCTTGGGCCCCTGCTTTGGCTCTCTCAGGCCATTCTTTCATTTTTATTTTACTTTTTATTGGGATATAGTTCATTTACACTGTTGTCTTAGTGACCAATGTATAGCAAAGTCAATCTGCTGTACATATACATATCTCCACTCTTTTTTAGGTTCTTTCCCATGTAGGTCATCACAGAGTTCTCTTTACTTTACAGGAGTTTCTTATTAGTTATCTATTTTAATATTTTATATATAGTAGTATGTATATGTCAGTCCCAGTCTTCCAGTTTATCCCTCCCCTCCCTTATCCCCTGGTAACTGTAAATTTATTTTCTATATCTGTTATTCTATGTCTGTTTTGTAGATAAGTTTGTTTGTAGCCTTTTGTTATATTCCATATATAAGCAATATCATATTCTACTTTTCTCTGTCTGACTTACTTCACTCAGTATGAATATCTCTAGGTCCAGCCATGTTGCTGCAAATGGCATTATTTATTTCACCCTTTGTTATGGCTGGGTAATATTCCATTGTATGTATGATAGCACATCTTCCTTATCCATTACGCTGCTGATGGACATTTAGATTGCTTCTGTGTCCTGGCTATTGTGAATAGTGCTGCAGTGAACATTAGGGTGGATGTATTTTTTGGAGTTATGGTTTTCCCTGGATATGTGCCCAGGAGTGGGATTGCCGGATCATATGGTAGCTCTATTTTTACCTTTTAAAGGAACCTCCATGTCTTTCTCTATAGTGGCTGTACCAGTTTACATTCTGGCCAACAGTGTTGGAGGGTTCCCTTTTCTCTACATCCTCTCCAGTATTTATTGTTTGTAGATTTTTTTATGAAACCTCACTGTAGTTTTTGGGAGGTTTTTTTTGTTTGTTTGTTTATTTTGTTTTTCATTTTTTTTCACTGTAGTTTTGATACGCATTTCTCTAATAATTAGAGATGTTGACCATCTTTTCATGTGCTTTTTGGCCATCTGTATGTCTTCTTTGGAGAGTGTCTCTTAGTCTTCTGCCCATTTTTAAAATTTTGTTGTTTATTTATTTATTTATTTATTGTTTGATATTGAAGTGCATGAACTGTTTGTATATTTTGAAGAGTAATCCCTTGTAAGTCACTTCGTTTGCAAATATTTCCTCCCATTCTTCAGGTTATCTTTGGTATTTTTTATGGTTTTGTTTGCTGTGCAAAAGTTTTTAAGATTAATTGGATCCTATTGGTTTATGTTTTATTTTTTTTTTCATTGTTCTAGGAGTTGGGTAAAAAAAAGCTTGCTGCAATTTATATCAGAGAGAATTCTCCCTTTGTTTTCATCTAAGAGTTTTGTAGTTTCTGGCCTTACATTTATGTCTGTAATCCATTTTGAGTCTATTTTTGTGTATGGTGTTAGGGAAAGTTCTAATTTTATTCTTTTGCATGTAGCTGTCCAGTTTTCCCAGCACCAGTTATTGAAGAAGCAGTCTTTTCTCCACTGTATATCCTTGCTTCCTTTGTCATAGGTGATACAGGTGTGTGGGTTTATCTCTGGGCTTCCTGTCCTGTTCTGTGGGTCTGTGTTTCGGATTTTGGTGCCTCTAGCGTTTGGTGCCACTTTCAGTTACTGTAGCTTGTGGTATAGTCTGAAGACAGGGAGCATGATTCCTCCTAGCTTCATTTTTCTTCTTTGTTTTTCTCAAGATTACATTGGCTATCCATGGTATTTTGTGTTTCCCTACAAAATGTAAACTTTTTTGTTCTAGTTCTGTGGAAAATGCCATTGGTAATTTGGTAGGGATTGCATTGAATCTGTAGGTTGCTTTAAGTAGTTTGTTTTTTTGTTTACAGTAGATCATCATGGAGATCTTTTATCTTTTTATCTTTCTTTGAATGGGTTGAGGTCTATATAACTGTATAGCAAGATGACCTTCTGAACATCCCAGGTAGTGTCCTATAGTTGGATGGAGAGAACCAAGTTTCCTATTAAGCTTTCTGTACAGCTTAGGTTATAGGCTGAACTTTAGGGCTACTTGGATCTCGTGGTTGTAGGGGTCTGGTGTACTGGTGTGAGAAAGAGTCTCTGTAGAAAAACAATATCCTCACTGATGTGTGGGTCACAGATGAGCAGTTGTTGGAATGTGTGGTGTGAATTCACCATACCTCACTTTTCCATAGCAGTAACTCTGAATCACAGTCTTTAATGAAAAAATGATAGTAATATTTTAGATTTAAAAGTACTGCCTTGTTTTGCAAAACCCATTGCCTTGTTTTTGTGATTTCAACTGCAGCTACATTGTACATAGAAAGTGAAATTACATAATGATAATTGAAGCATATGGTCAAAAATCTGAACAATGACATCCTCACCTATATTACACTGTCAAGGGTACCTCAATCCAGGTGGGATTAATATGATAAAGGACAAAAATGGAAAGGATCTAAGAGAAGTAGAAGAGATTAGGATGAGTTGGCAAGAATACACGGAAGAACTGCACAAAAAAGATCCTAATGACCTGGATGGCCATGACGGTGTGGTCACTCACCTAAGCCAGACATCCTAGACTGTGAAGTCAAGTGGGACTTAATTTCAAAGCATTACTACGAACAAAGCTAGTGAAGGTAATGGAATTCCAGCTGAGCAATTTAAAATCCTAAAAGATGATTCTGTTGAAGTGCTGCACTCAATATACCAGCAAATTTGGAAAACTCAGCAGTGGTCATAGGATTGGAAAAGGTCAGTTTTCATTCCAGTCCCAAGGAAAGACAATGCCAAAGAATGTTCAAACTATCATGCAATTGCACTCATTCTGCATACTAGTAAGTTTATACTCAAATCCCTTCAAACAAGATTTCAACAGTACATGAACCAGAAACTTCCAGCTGTGCAAGCTGGGTTTACAAAAGGCAGAGGAACCAGAGATCAAATTGCCAATATACACTGGATCATAGAGAAAACAAGGGAATTCCCGAAAGACATCTGCTTCATTGACTATGTGAAAGGCTTTGACTCTGTAGATCACAACAAACTGTGGAAAATTCTGAAAGAGATAGGAATACCAGACCATCTTATCTGTCTCCTGAGAAACTTGTTTGCAGGTCAAGAAGAAACAGTTAGAACTGGATGTAGAACAATGGACTGGTTCAAAATTGGAAAAGAAGAATGACAAGGCTGTATATTGTCACTATGTTTATTTAACCTATATGCAGAGTACATCATGCAAAATACTGGGCTGGATGAAGCACAGGCTGGAATCATGATTTCTGGGAGAAGTATCAATAACCTCAGATATGCAGATGATACCACTCTAATGATTGAAAGTGAAGAGCCTCTTAATGAAAGTGAAAGAGCAGAGTGAAAAAGCTGGCTTAAAACTCAGCTTTCAAAAAACTAAGATCATGATATCCCATCCCATCTGGGGAAAAATTGAAAGCAGTGACAGATTTTATTTTCTTGGGTTCCAAAAATCACTTCAAACTGTGACTGCAGCCATGAATGAAAAGATTTTTGCTTCTTGGAAGGAAAGCTATGACAAATCTAGACAGAATATTACAAAGCAGAGACACCACTTTGCCAACAAAGATCCATATAGTGAAAGCTGTATATTTTCCAGTAGTCATGTAAGAATTGTCAACAGATGTTAAGAGTTGGACCATTCAAAAGGCCTAGGGCAAAAGAATTGATGCCTTCAACCTGTGGTGTTGGAGAAGACTCTCAAGAGTCCCTTGGACTGTAAGGAGATCAAACCAGTCAATCCTAAAGGAAATCAATCGTGAATATTCACTGGAAGGACTGATGCTGAAGCCAAAGCTCTAATACTTTGACCACCTGATGCGAAGTGCTGGCTCATTAGAGAAGACCCTGATACTGTGAAAGATTGAAGGCAGGAGAAGAAGGGGATGGTTGGATGGCATCACCGACTCGATGGACATGTGTTTGAGCAAACTCCGGGAGATAACGAAGGGCAGGGAAGCCTGGTGTGCTGAAGTCCATGGCAACACAGAGTCAGACATGACTTAGTGACTGAACAACAACATTGTTCAGTTCAGTTCAGTTACTCAGTTGTGTCTGACTCTTTGCAACCCCATCCATGAACTGCAGCATGCCAGGCCTCTCTGTCCATTACCAACTCTTGGAGTTTACTCAAACTCATGTCCGTTGAGTTGGTGATGCCATCCAACCATCTCATCCTCTGTCATCTAACAACTTTGTTAGTTCTTTCTAAAGGGATCGGGTGGAGAGGGAGGTGGGAGGGGGGACCGGGATGGGGAATACATGTAAATCCATGGCTAATTCATTTCAATGTATGACAAAAACCACTGCAATGTTGTAAAGTAATTAGCCTCCAACTAATAAAAAAAATAAAAGAAAAAGAAAAATAAAAGAAATTGCATTTGATATATAAAATACAAAAAAAAATTTTTTTTTTACTTATTTATTTGGCTGTACTGGGTCTTAGTTAGGGCCCACAGGATCTTCAGTCTTAGTTGTAACAGATAGGACTTTAATTGCAGCATGTGAACTCTTAGTTGTGGCATGTGGAGTCTAGTTCCCTGACCAGGGATTGAACCAGGGCCCCTGCATTGGGAACTCAGAGTCTTAGCTATTGGACCACCAGGGAAGTCCCTCATGGTGTGTGTGTTTTTTTTTTTTTACTTTATTATTATCTCATACAACAGAAATAGTATTATGAATAATACTATCATTACATGCAAATGATTTAAATATTATAAAGGAGTCTTCTCACACTATATATAAAATAGATAACTAAAAAAGATCTCCTGTATAGCACAGGGAACTCTCTTTATTACTCTGTAATGACATATGTGGGAAAATAATTTTAAAAGAGCAGATTACATATATGTCTGGCTAATTCACTTTACTGTACACCTGAAACTAACACGACTTTGTAAATCAACTATTACTCCAATAAAAATCATAGAAATAAATGTGTCTTCTTTGTAAAGTGACAGAAGGAACTATGTGAGGGGTTGAGAAGTAGACTGACTTTCTTCTTCCTCTTCCTCATTCAGCTTTGGATGCTGGGCATGTTGGCCTGGTCCTGTCGCTCACCATCATACTTACCAGGATGTTCCAGTGGTGCGTCAGGCAAAGTGTGGAAGTTGAGAACATGGTGATGTTTACCTTTCTGTTCTTAGTCTTTTCAGTCTCCTTGCTGTTATTTGACACAGAAGCAATTCTTATGTAAAATAATAAAACTGTTTATTTTTACATCATTTTACAAAGTTTTTTTTTACATTCTCTTCCATCTTCTGAAGGGCTTCCCTGGTGGCTCAGATGATAAAGAATCCGCCTACAACACAGGAGCCACAAGAGACTCAGGTTCAATCCCTGGGTTGGGAAGATCCCCTGGAAAAGGGAATAGCTATTCCAGTATTCTTGCCTGGAGAATCCCCATGGACAGAGGAGCCTAGGAGGCTAGAGTCCATGGAGTTGCAAAGTCGACTGAGCGGCTTTCACTTTCACATTTCATGTGCTAAAAATAAAATATATACATATTTTTCTCAGTCATGTGTATGCCATGTCAGAAGGTATTGTATTCATCACAAATTGTCTTCAAATACAATAAACGTCTATGTAGGAGGGAGGTTCTGAAATTCTGGAGACAATATAAGCTAATTTCTTAGCAGCTTGTTTGTATTTGTTTCTTAATGAGTAATTCCTCATTTTTGGTAAAAGAAAATAATCCAGTATTTTGAGGTTTATTTAATTACTATGTTCCTCCACCCATCCCCCATTTTATCATTTATTCTCGTGTGAGTTGAACACCGAATTTGCTGGTGGCCCTTCTTCCTAGTAGCATAGGCTCCCTCTCGGAATGTGCTAAGGTGTGGAGGCATGGTTGTTTAGAAGACCTTAATCGATGTGTATATTATACACTCTTGAATATTTGTACCTTCTCCTAAAGGGGGAAAATCAATAAAAATGAAGTTTTTCCTTTTCTTTCTTCTAATAGAGTAGAAGTAGTGAAAGTCTCTCAGTCGTGTCCAACTCTTTTCAACCCCATGGACTATACAGTCCCTGGAATTCTCCAGGCCAGAATACTAGAGTAGGTAGTCTTTCCCTTCTCCAGGGGATCTTCCCAACCCAGGGATCAAACCCAGGTCACCCGCATTGCAGGAAGATTCTTTACCAGCTGAGCCACAAGGCAAGCCCAAGAATACTGGAGTAGGTAGCCTATCCCTTCTTCAGGGGAACTTCCAGACCCAGGAATCGAACTGGGGTCTCCTGCATTGCAGGGGTACTCTTTACCAACTGAGCTATCAGGGAAGCTCATAACAGAGTAGAAAATGACTGACTATTAAAATGAGGTTTGATTACCATCCAGTTCTTTTCATCTGTAATACGTGGCCCTTCTGTAGTCACACATTACTAATTGGTGTCCATAAGTATTCTTTTCTTTGAAAAAAAAATTATTCAGATGTGAAAGGAGGATCAATAAAATCTTACTATGAATTTCTTTAATTTTTTAACTTTAATATAAAATTGAAGGAAGTAATCGTATGTAAAAGTGTTGAAGATAATGAACAAGTTTTCAAATCATCCAAGGCCTCATCAGACTCCTACTTCTGTCCTTTGTGGATGCTGATACCTGGGATGTTCTGAACCATATAAAAGCAGAAGGTTTCATTTATAATCTCTGAACATGCATAAACAAGACCCTCTGATACTAACTCATGAGATGTCATATGTGTTTCAGATGATTTCAGTAGAAAGGGGGATTGAATACACAGACCTTGGGAAAGAAGCACCCTGGGAACTTGAGTATCGTCCACCACCATCCTGGCCCCATGAAGGAGAGATTTATTTTAGAAATGTGAACTTCAGGCATAAGTCAGACGGGCCTCTGGTATTGAGGAATGTGTATGCAGCCTTTTACCCAGGACGAAAGGTTAGTTTAAGCCATTTGCCTCTTTAAAATCCAGCTAAAGACAGCACCACGTCTGCTCTTGGCTTCTTTGTCAGTGTGTCAGGGGGACTTTGTCCTAATGGATGCAGATTAGATCAGTGACACTGTAGGTGAATCTTTCCTGGAAACTGACCATGGAATGGGGATACCAGGAAGTTTTTTCCCTGTGTTCTGAGCTCCCTCATGGTGGTTGATGGACCCTGGGACCCAGGGCTCCATCTTAACCTGACCTGGGACACTATATGTGACACCTGATTATTCATACAAAGTCTGGGACATCAGCCTTGTCTTCCTGGCCCTAACTTTCCAATATCTCATTCCTTTCCATCTTTTCTTGTTTGTATTTCTGAGATCTCCTCCTCCTCCCATGGTGCCCTCAGATTGCAGCCTCCTTCTCTGTCCCTTAGTCCTCCTGTAGCCTTGTCCTCCACTCACCCACACTGAGCTGCAATCCCCCTGCCTTCCCCCCACAGACTGATTCTTTCTTTAGCCCAGATCTGATCCTTATTGGGCTGTGTGAGCTGCTGCTGGAACCATAGCATAGCCTCAAGTCCATTCCAGCAGGGTACGTCGGGTGAGCTTGTGTCCACCAGAGAAGAGCCTCAATAATGACCCAGTCAGGAGTGAGGAATCATGGTATCAGATGGAGGCAAGGTCTAGAGATTGGCTCAAAGTCAAAAGCAAATTGGTGGGAGCAGAGAAAATCTGTGTGGGAGACAGCAGAGAGGCTTGTGACCTGGACCTGTCAACATCCATGTCTGCTGGTGATGTTCCTTCCATACTCAGTTTACGGCCCTCAGCTGGGATCAGGACAGAATCTTGAAGAAGAGACTGAACCAGAACAGACAAGGTGGTAGGAAGCTCTTCCCTACCTCCCTCTGCAGCCAGTGTGTCTGACATGCACACACCCCTGCACTCGGATTGTGTGTAGGTTCTCTCAAAATACCACATCCTCCCTGTTCCCAGTGCACATGCTGCCCCTCAACCTCAGAGACCCAGGTCCTCTGTCATCTGGATGGTGAAAATCTCCTCATTTTCTGAGTCAACTCTAATGCATCTTCAAGACCCTCAGTTCTTCCTTAGTGTCTTATATATTCTTTTAAGGAAGCATTTACGGTACAGCTATGTTTATAGCAGCCAAAAGTTGGAAGGAACTAAATCCTTACAATGAAGTATTATTCGGCCTTAAAAAGGAAGAAAATTCTGACCTGTGGATAAACCTTGATGGCATCTTGCTAAATGAAATGAGCCAGACACACACAAAAAATGAATACTCTGACTTCACTTATGTGAGGTTCTGAGAGTAGTCAAATTCAAGAAAACAGGAAGTAGGATGGTGGTCTCCAGGAACTTGGGGAGGGTAAATGGGGAGTTGTTTCTTTAATGGTAAGAATTTCAGGTTTTTGAGGCAGAAAAAAAAAAAATCTCAAACTTGGTTGCACAGCAATGTGAATGTACTGAACACCAAACTGTCCACTTAAAAATGGTTAAATAGTTAAATTTTATGTTAGGTGAATTTTATCATAATTAAAATGAGATAGCACCTGTGGCATGCTTTGCAACTTGGGATCTGTATCTCATAGTATCTTGAGGCTTTTTAAAATCAGGGAGCATCTTGTTTTCATATTTGTTCCCAGAATGTGTCATTCTGCAGGGCACAGAGAGGATGTTGAGGGACTGCTGGTTGAGAGGGTGAGTGAGTTACACAGGTGTGAGCAAGCAGGAACGAACACACACACACACACACACACACACACACGACAACTGGGTATAAATAACTGAAAGAACTGCTCTTTAAAACTCTTACCACCCCACAGACCCATCTAGTGGACAATAGCTATAATTTAACAAATGAAACACTTGTAACATAAAAGAATATTCAACTTAATGCCTGAATGTTACCCAGGGAACAGCTACAGTTAGTCACAGGAAAAAAACTGGTCCTCAATATTTCCAGTTCCATTGTAGGTCAGGAAAAAGGTGAACTGCTGTGTCAGGAAAACATTAATCACAGCTCTTGATACAGTTCTGTCCCTAAGAGCACTGTTTGTGATGTTTACTTACTCTCAGACAATGTGGTGTCTGTCCGGCTTTCTGTTGTAAATGTAATTCTGTTAACCTGTACTTGTCTTAAATTTTCCCCAAAGCCATAAGATATGAATTATCTAGGAAACTCTGTAGTACAATTTAGAAACATAACAGATTCTTATTCTTCCTTCTTAAAACCTGTAAATCATAGGATCATTGAGATTCTAAAATGTTTGAGGGAAAATTAAATTTTGAGACTGAATTAATAACTCCAGTAACTTGACTTTTGATCTGTATCTTGGTCCACTGTCAGTATCACTGTTAACTTCATTTCTATGTTTGGAAATGATACCCGGTCAGTGTGTTCTTAAATTGATTTCACTCCACCTGCATATATCCCAGATTCCCTCTTCTGCTCACCTGTCCCAGCCCCCGTCACTCCAGGACAACCCTTTGGTGTTGGATTTGATTGAGAGAAGCTGTTGTCTGGGGTGGGGTGTGGAAGGCGGGGGCAGGGGACATGGGAGTGAGTCAGCCCAGCAGAAGTGGGGCTTTTTTCTCTTTCCCTCATTTCCTCTTCTATCCCGACTTCTAGAAGTTAAAGTCAATAGGAGAGTATAGTAGGTACTATGCAGGATTTTAATTCACAGAAGAAATGGCAAGTGAAAATAACGAACCAGGACTCCCCTGGTGGTGCAGTGGATAAGAATTCACCTGCCAATGCAGTGGACTCTGGTTCAATCCCTGGTCTGAAGAGTCCACCCGCTGCAGAGCAGCTAAGCCCTGCACCACAGCTACTGAGCCCACGTGCCACAGCTCCTGACGTCTTCACTCAGAGTCAGCAGAAGCACCTCAGGGAGAGGCCCGTGCGCTGCAGGAGCAGCCCTCATCGTCACAACTAGAGACAGCTCGTGCAAAGCAATCAGGACCCAGCACAGCCAAACAGAAAAAAAATCAGCATGAAGTAAATAACACCCTAGACTTCTGGAGAGTCTGAAAACAGGCTACATTTTTCATTTGGATGATTTTGTGGTTGATTTGATCATTTTAGAGAGTCCTGAGCAATAAAGATACCAGCTCTCAAGGTAGATTGATTCTGCTTTGTTTTTGCTCACAGCAATTATTTCGATGATACATTTTTACAGATGCTTAGTAGATCATGCTATAATGTGCAAAAATATTAGTTTCCTACATTTTTTCCTTTTTTACATAATATTTTCTTAAAAACCTCTCCCCTCACTCCCAGATTATCCTCTTCTCCTGCTGGGTTCCTAATTCCCTGTGACTCAGACCGAGGTGCCAGGGCCAGCAGCACCTGCCTCTCCTGGAGCTTCTTAGAAATGTAGAGTCTCAGGCCCACCCAGACCTCTTGACTCAGATTCGTATCTGAACATGACCTCTTCTTTTCTCTCCCATAGGCAGTTTTTGATGAGTGATAACCTGTGATTCCCAAGACATGTCTTTGACAATTTGAAATTGAACTCAAGAATTCCCAAATCTCTGTTGTGGCTGAGCAAGAGGCCCTAGAATGTTCTGTGCCCCTAGATTTACTTACTTTTATGCTCTATATGTTGCACCTTTACATTATAATCTAATTCTGTGTGATTCTGCTTTATTTCTTTGCATCTTTCCAGTGGAGTCTGTCTTCATCACAGGCAGTTTTCATCCTGCTGTCTGTCCTTCCCCACACCAGCCTTCTGCAGGGACTGGAGGGATTTCCCACAGGCTCAGCCCTGCCTGAATCTGGAGTCAGAGACAGCCTCGTGCAGCAGTGTATGTGTGGCTGTTCCACCACCTGATAGGATAAAAAATGAATCTTGCTGACCCAGCAGGGCATGAGGTCTGTTTGTCCTGTTCCCCAGTCACCATGTGTCACACTTATGCAGGTTTCTCTCTCCACCGGTGCCGGTTCTTCCTGCTGACAGCTGGTCCACCTGCCCTCAGGTACCCTCTTTGCTCTCACTCACCACATATATGCCTGTGTCCACGTCATGCTTTAACTCTCTGACCATAAGATCTCTATGGTAGGCCTGTTCCTTTAACTGCAGCTACACCTCTCCCCACTTTTTCTATTCTCACTACACAGAGGGACATGATAAGGTATCAGGTCATCCAGGGGATAAGGAGGCCCATCAGCAGGTGGAAAAGAGGTCAACAGATGTGGATTTGAGTCCCATCCTGCTACTTATGGGCTCTGATATTCAGACAGATTAATTTATCTAAGCCTCAACCTTTTCTTATGCAAAATGGAAGTGAAAGGGTGTAACCTGTAGGGTATGTACAACTTAAACAAGATAAGACATGTATAGCACCAAGAGTAAATGCTTGGACAAAAATGGTCATCGTTTTCATAGGGTGTAAAATGACCATAACCACTTACGCTGCAGGTGTTGGCTGTCCCATGAGAATGAGGTGTTGGCCTTTTGAAGTTGTATTTACAGCTATAGGATCCATCTGCTGTGTCTGTCTCTGTCTGATTTATCTTATACCTAAATAATATGGAAATAGATTTCCCATAAATTTCTCTGCCTTGAGTTAAAAATCTCAGCTCCCAGTGGAAGTTTCTTTGCCCCAGGACACCAGTGGTAATACAAATAAGAAAAAGTCAAGTCCAGCAGAGATCCTGATGTCAACGTATACAGTCTAGTTAAGAAACAAGAAAATTACTATATTAGCTTTGTAAGCTAGAACGAGGTCATAATTTTTATATAGGTTTATAAAAAATGACATAGCATCTGTTAGAGTTGGAACAAGCCCACATGAGGGGACAGGGAGAGCATTTCCAAGGGATTAGACATGTGAGACAGACTTAATGACGTATGGTTAGGGTTTCAGCAGGTGGAAATACATGTGAAAGGCATTCTGGGAGGTGAGACCAGCATAAGCAAAAGTATGATGTCCTGATCCAGTGAATGAAAAACTAGACACCTGAAAAGCATTCAGGAAAATGAACTACCAAGTGTGTAACACACATTTTTACATTCAACCCTAACCACTACCTAGTGATACCAAGGAAGCTGACTCGTGTGCATGAAGGATGGAGAGGTTAGAGAGGACAGTTTTGTAGAAGAGATGTCCTGGGATGGAGTGTTGGGTGCTGAGCTGGCATTCAGGAGTTTAATCTGGGACGTGAAAGCACATGGACCAGAGTGGGCAGGTGCAGGGGGCAGGGAGCCAGGAACTGTTGTGTCTCCAGCAAGACATGCTGGGAAAATGATTCCACTTTTGATCAAATTGATGTCGATTGAAACAAAGCTATAATACCCATATTTGTGAACATGCAGAGAAATGTACGGGATAGAAAATGGTATTATACTTCTGGAGGGTAGGTAACCAGCTTAACAGCTTCCTCTGAAAACATTCATACTTTGTTGTTGTTGTTCAGTCACCTAGTCATGTCCGACTCTTCATGACCCCATGGACTGACACACACCAGGCTTCTCTGTCCCTCACCATCTCCCACAGTATGCCCAAGTTCATGCTTATTGTATCAGTGATGCCATCCAGCCATCTCATCCTCTGTCATCCCCTTCTCCTCCTGCTTTCAATCATTCCCAGCATCAGAGTCTTTTCCAATGAGCTGGCTCTTTGTGTCAGGTGTCCAAGGTATTGGAGCTTCAGCATCAGTCCTTCCAATGAATATTCAGAACTGATTTCCTTTAGGGTTGACTGGTTTGATCCCCTTACTGTTCAAGGAATACATACTTGCTGTCCAAGGGTTTCATACTTGACTGTCAGCAATTCCACATCTGAGAATTTATGTGAAGGAAATGATTAAGGTTGTTTGCAAAGATTTAGCTTCAGGGACATTTAACACAGAGTTATTTATGATAGCTAACTATTTGTCACTGCCTAAATATTCAGAAGTAGGGGATTTGTTAAATAAATGATTGTACTATACTATTATGCAACCATTAAAGTAAATATTTTTATGAAATATCAAATGAAAGCACCTATAACAGTATGTTCACATTAATCTCATTTTGTTTAAATATGTGAACTTGTGTCTTTAAGAATATATTAAAAAATATAACAACAACAAAAAAACACATACAGAAGCCTAGAAAGTAAAAACATAATTTTAAGAATGTTTTTTCAGAGTGCTGAGGTATAGCTAGTATTTATTTACTTTTCAAATTCATTTACAGTGATTATGATTAAGGAAAGAGTTTATTTTAATTTGTTTTTTAAACACTGTGGGCCTGGGAAAGAAGTAATGAGAGTAAAGTGGGGAATATGGATGACAGGGTTGCTTTGTGTTGAGCATTAGGTGTTGATTATGTTGAGTTTGATGTGTGAAGAGAGATCCAGGAACAAGTGTCTAATAAGTTGTGTCATCATCAGAGACCAACCTGGCTGGAAAAACAGAAAGGGACCATTGCAAAGCAAATAGCAGATTTTCTTCAAGTGTCTTTATAATTTTATTTATTTATTTATTTTTGTCTGGGCTGGGTCTTTGTTGCTGCTTGGGCTTTTCTCTAGTTGCCACATGTGGGCTTCTTACTGTGGTGTCTTCTCTTGTTAATAGCATGAGCTATAGGGTGCAAGGGCTTCAACAGTTGTGGCATGTAGGCTCATAGTCATGGTTCCTGGGTTCTAGAGTGCAGGCTCAGAGTCGTGGTTCCCAGGTTCTAGAGCGCAGGCTCAATAGTTGCGGCGCATGGGCTTAGCTGCTTCGCAGCATGCAGGATTCTCTTGGACTAGGGATTGAACCCACATCTCCTGCATTGGCAGGCAGATTCTTTACCACTGAGCCATCACGGAAGCCCCCAGGTGTCTTCAGATTGAAGAATGTGAGCTTACTGATACTGGTGACACTCTCCATGGGCAATTGGTAAAACCCTATGGCTACCCAGAAAAGACATTTAGACTATAGCTTTGATGACTGAACTCTGGAATAATCAGAGTCAGGTTTTCTTTGAGTTGCTTTTTTCTTTTTAGGGGGCCTAGGGCCATGAAGCATGTGTGATCAATTCATTTTTGAAATGCCATGATTGATTTGACAGACTAAGATTTGAAACTTTAGAAGTATTCAAATCAGAAAACATGAAATGTTCCAAGCATTCTGATTATACTGCTCAGAAAGGTTTAGTTGTTCTTTTTTTAAAGCCATGAGTTTTAAAACTTTACTGATTTACAAATGATCCAAGCATATCTTACACTCTCATCAATTCCAGATTTTAAATAGAGATTAAATCATCTCTTGGAAAGCTTCCTTCAGAGAATTTGCAGTTGGGCTTCCCTGGTGGCTCAGATGGTAAAGAATCTGCCTGCAATGTAGGAGACCTGGGATCTATCCCTGGGTCAGGAAGTACCCTTGAGTAAGAAATGGCAACCCACTCCAGTACTCTTGCCTGGAATATTCCATGGACAGAGGAGCCTGACAGTCTACAGTCCATGGGGTCGTAAAGACTTGAACACAAGTGATTGAGTAATACTTTTTTTCACTTAAAAATTCATTGGTAAAAAAGACCAGTTTCTGCATATATATTTGAATGCGGTTTTATTCCCTACCAACATTTCACGTGAGAAAAGGAAATGGCAACGAACTCTAGTATTCTTGCCTGAAGAATCCCAAGGACAGAGGAGCATGGCAGGCCACAGTCCATGGGGTCACAAGAGTCAGACATGACTTAGCGACTAAACCACCAACCACCAGATTTTACCTACACTGTACTGATTCTTTAATCTTACTATTAGTGCATTTAATTTCCCTCTGCTTTGGTTTTAGTAAATAGACTGACGCTTGACATGTGTTTTTCCAAGGTTCAATTGTAAGTATTAATGTATTGATAAAATGCCTTTTGAACTGCTCCTATGAAAGGTCGCATGTAAACAACAAATATTGTTTGTGTTGTTGTTGATCTCATTATGTACATTTTACATCTCAGTAGTACATATGTCTACTGGCCTGTGTCTTTCAAGACTCAGACCTGCATTTTATATTTGAAGATGTTTCCTTTCAAGGTAGAATATAATTGAGATATTTAATATCAGGAAGTGATTTCATTTTTCTACCCTCAGAATAATTCCTCTTAAATAAATAACATATCCCTGAGAAAGTGAGTACTTGTTTGTGTATAACATTTCTGACTTGATTTGTCGACATCTCTGTAAAATTACCCATGTAATTCTCAAGGTCAAATTACCCAGGGAGTAGGAATAAAACTGATTTAAAAACTGACTTCTTATGGACCACTTAGGAGACTGCTGGTTTTTCACTGCAGGCAGATTACTTTTTTTAAAAATCACCTTCTTCCTTTATTTATGAATGTTACACACACACACATACACACACACACACACACACATACACACACACACACACACACACACACCATAAAAACATACATTCTCCCCCTTTAACATACCACATAATGGATGCTGCTGCTGCTGCTGCTGCTGCTGCTGCTGCTGCTGAGTCGTTTCAGTCGTGTCTGACTCTGTGAGACCCCATAGATGGCAGCACACCATGCTCCCCCATCTCCGGGATTCTCCAGGCAAGAAAACTGGAGTGGGTTGCCATTTCCTTCTCCAATGCATGAAAGTCAAAAGTGAAAGTGAAGTCGCTCAGTCATGTGAGACTCTTAGCAATGCCATGGACTGCAGCCTACCAGGTTCCTCCGTCCATGGGATTTTCCAGGCAAGAGTACTGGAGTGGGTTACCAGTGCCTTCTCTGACATAATGGATACTACGTGATAATTATAGAAAACAATTTTCAGCATATTAAGCATTTATTCAGGGAAATTTGAATAAAATTGCCTGACATTTTTAGAAGGCATGAAAGTCACTATAATTTATATTGTGTATTCTTGGGATGATGATGGTCTCAATCAGGGACACTTGTGAATTTCTCTCATTTTTGGTTATCTCAATTTTGGGGGTTGCATCTGGTATCTAGTTGGCTCATAGCTACTGTTAATCATCCTACAATATAAAGGACAGGCCCCCGACCCTCAACAGTGAATTATCTGGTCCAAAATGTCAGCAGGGCCTTGCTTGAGAAACTTACAGACTACTCTTTATATATAATAGAACTTTAGCAAATCATCTTCAAAAATCAGGGTTTTCCTGGGTTTTGTGCATCCTGTTAATTATTCATCCCCCTGGGTCTCTTTACAGTATGGCATCGTGGGAAGAACAGGAGCTGGAAAAAGTTCCCTCATTGCTGCCCTTTTTAGATTGTCAGAACCTGAAGGTGACATTTGTATTGATGATACCTTGACAACGCGTATTGGACTTCACGATTTAAGGAAGAAAATTTCAGTTGCACTTCAGGTATGCATAGCAGAGCACTCTCATATGTTCTTTTTATAAGGCGTCTAAGGTTTAAGTGCTTTTAATTTGATCAGTCTTTTCAAGTTAAGTGAATGAGTTGATCCTTTTTTTCCCAATAGAGCATATATTTAGCAGCAAGTATTTTCAACAGACACTTTCATCAGATACCAGGTTTTGTTTTCTTGTTCATTTGCGAGTTTTGTGTGCATGTGAATTAATAACTTACTGATAGAGATTTCTGGACTCAGACTTCCTCAGTTTCCACAATTTTATCCACTGATAATCACATAATTCTGAGAACAGAAGGATAAATTGTTTGTTTAGCGCTGGAGAGATTCCTCTATATATATTCCTAAATTCATAATAAACGTGAATTTTATTAATAAGTGTCTTACAGATGTAATTTTGCTGTAGAAAACGAGGACATCTTTTCAAAGGTGACTATCTCCTTGGAGAACTTTCTGTGATATTGTGGGGCTTTGAGAATTATAGGATATATAAATGCTTTGGGGAGACTTTGACAATTTAGTCATTAATGAATAATTTTCACCACGGAGGCAATACAGAACAGGGAGGAAGAGCAGAGAACTCAGAATTCTGTCTTTATGTACCTTGGTTTTCTCTGTCTTACAAGGCAGATAACAGGATCACCCCCTCAATCTGTTGTAAGGACAAAATAGGTCAGTGAGTGTGTAGTGCTTCCTGTAGACCCATATGTGCCTGCTGTGATGGTGGAGTGTTGAGTTGGCCATATCTTCCTGGGCTCTGATTCTGCTCTCTTTTCTTCTTCATAAAGAAGTATAACTTTCAGGGAGAGTTTGAAGACTGGATTATATGCATGGTAGACACTCCAGTCATTCCTTGTGGTTCATTCACTCAACGTAATTCTGTGATATTTACTGAGAAATTACTATCCTCCAGGTATATAACCAAGGGCAACATAGGCCCTGTGTCCTCATCTATCATACTGCCCTCTGCTTTGACAGACTTGCTGATTTAAAAAAAAAAAAATGAGTTTTTATTTATATGCTTAGTAATCATCTGCCCATCAAAGGAAGCTAAGAAAATTACTCTCTTGAGATCAGAAACAGAGAGGAGATGAGACAGAACAAGCCAGGCAAATGTACTTCCTGGAATGTGGATGTAATGTGTCCTGAAGTGCCTGTTTATTAAGAAGCATGTGCAACATGGCACCCAAAGGAAGGCAAATGTGGACTTGGGTACAGCTGTTGCTACCTATCCGTGGCCTCTAACATACCTGGGATTACTCTAAGGACTTCTGAAATCAAAATATTCTTTTCAGACTCTAGTGAAATATCACCTCACACCCTTTAAGATGTCCACTATCAAAGAAAAGAGAGAGAAAAAAGAAAATGACTACTGTTGGCAAGGATGTAGAGAAATTAGAATCCTTGTTCATTGCTGATAGGAATGTAAAATAGTGCAGCCTCTATGGAAAACAAGTTGGTCATTTCTCAAAAAAGTTAAAGATAGAATTACTGTATGATCTAGAGTATAAACCCAGAAGAATTGGAAGAAAGGTCTTGAAGAGATACTGGAACATGCATGTTATAGCAGCATTATTCTCAACAGCAAAAAGGTGGAGGCGCCCAAGTGTCCATTGGTAGATGAAGCAACAAACAAAATGTGGTACACATACATACAGTAAAATATTACTCAGCTTTAAAAAAGAAGAAAATTCTGACACATGCTACAGCACAGATGAACCTTGAGAAAATTAAGCTAAGTGAAATAAGCCAGTCACAAAAGACAAATATTGTATGATTCTACTAATAGGAGGTACCTAGAGTAGCAAATTCATGGATACAGAAGGTAGAATGGTGGGTGCCAGGAGTGGCCAGGAGAGGGGAGTTGTCGTTTAATGGGTACAGAGTTTCAGTTCTTCAAGTTGAAAGGAGATCTGTGGCTGGGTGGTGGTGATGGCTATACAACAATGTAAATGTATTTAATACCACTGAACTGTGTACTTAAAGTGGTTAATCTAGTAAATTTTATGTATATTTTGCCACAATTAATTTTTTTTTCCAAAAGTATTCCTTTCATGAAAAATGGGAAGAACTTTTTAGTACATTCAGTCCCCATATTTAAAGATTTCCTGTGGCTATTAGATTTATGACTTATGGTTACATTAGAAAGTAAATGAGTTTAGATTCCCAAGTTTTATATTTTGATGGTGCTCATCTCTGAAATGGCCGTGTGAGATTAGTTAGTAGAAATAAAGGGCATGTCTGTAAAGTCCTTTCATATCCCTGGATGCAAAGCTTTAGAAACATGCCCTGCATTACATTTAATGCTTCTTAATTGGAAAAAGTTTTATGTTTGTGTACATAAAATAACTCTGTAAATAAATAATGTTAGATGATTCTTCGCTTTGCCAATAATATTTGGAAGCACATCTGAGCAAAGAGTAAACACACCTGGACATCAGCATGTTTTGGTTCTCTTCTGTTGGTTTTCATCCTTCCTTTGAGCCTGTTCTAGGTACACACTCCAGAGAACATATTTACAGAATAGTGCTAAGCTTTGTATCCATGTAGATTCCATTTTATATGCCTTTGTCTCCAAGATGTAGTGTTGGTTGATTAAAGAGAGAGAATCTGGAGAGAACTTGCAATGTGCAGAGGTTCTCCGGAAACCATTCAGGAGGCATACAGGGGTAGAATGTTTAAGAGTGTAGGCCAGTGTCAGCATGACCCACGGTTTTATTCCTGCTCTGCCTCATATGACTGTGGGGCCTTGACAACCTCACCTGGCTGCCAGGCTTCAGCATCGTCGTCCTTAAACCAGGCCTGGGAGTCATTGCCACACAGATTTGTTATGAAGACGTAACTGGGTGAGATAATGTTTGTGCCCATGTCTGTTTCTTGGGAAAGCTCAGTCATTAGGAACTGTTATTATTCATAAGGATCAGGGCACTGGCCTTTGGGTATTGCTTCTGCTTAAGTAAAAAGACTAACACCTTCTGGAATGACTTTACTCTTTAATTTCTGCTTATGGTCCTTGGTGATTTTCTTTATATTTATTGTTACAATATAAACTAGGCTATTGTTATAAATATAAATAGTAAAGCAAATAAACAAAAAAACTAAAACAAAAAATACAATAGGAATTTTGGTGAAAAGCATAAGGAGAAGTGTGTCTAAAATTTCCACCAAGAAAACAGACTAACACTTTATTTATTTATTTATTTCTGTAATTTCATTTCTGACTCCCCTCTTACCAACTTCTTTCCTAACCACCCCCTTGTATACACTGGTACTTTCTTACTTAATTACACACCAAGATCTGTGACCTTTTTCTCAGCCCTCCCCACACTCTCAACTATTTTCTTCCTCTCCTTGAGGACAGGGCTTGTATCTCTCATTTGTGTTCCTCTGTTGTCTGAGAAGGCCTTACAAATAGCTGTGAAAAGAAGAGAAGCAAAAACAAAGGAGAAAAGGAAAGATATTCCAATTTGAATGCACAGTTACAAAGAATAGCCAGGAGAGATAAGAAAGCCTTCCTCAGCGATCAGTGCAAAGAAATAGAGGAAAACAACAGAATGGGAAAGACTAGAGATCTCTTCAAGAAAATTAGAGATAACAAGGGAACATTTCGGGCAAAGATGGGTTCGATAAAGGACAGAAATGATATGGACCTAACAGAAGCAGAAGATATTAAGAAGAGGTGGCAAGAATAGACAGAAGAACTGTACAAAAAAGATCTTCACGACCCAGATAATCACAATGGTGTGATCACTGACCTAGAGCCAGACATCCTGGAATGTGAAGCCAAGTGGGCCTTAGAAAGTATCACTACGAACAAAGCTAGTGGAAGTGATGGAATTCCAGTTGAGTTATTTCAAATCCTGAAAGATGATGCTGTGAAAGTGCTTCATTCAATATGCCAGCAAATTTGGAAAACTCAGCAGTGGCCACAGGACTGGAAAAGGTCAGTTTTCATTCTAATCCCTAAGAAAGGCAATCCCAAAGAATGCTCAAACTACCACACAATTGCACTCATCTCACACGCTAGTAAAGTAATGCTCGAAATTCTCCAAGCCAGGCTTCAGCAATACATGAACTGTGAACTTCCAGATGTTCAAGCTGGTTTTAAAAAAGGCAGAGGAACCAGAGATCAAATTGCCAATATCCTCTGGATCATCGAAAAAGCAAGAGAGTTCCAGAAAAACATCTATTTCTGCTTTATTGACTATGCCAAAGCCTTCGACTGTGTGGATCACAATAAACTGTGGAAAATTCTGAAAGAGATGGGAATACCAGACCACCTGACCTGCCTTTTGAGAAACCTGTATGCAGGTCAGGAAGCAGCAGTTAGAAGTGGACATGGAACAACAGACTGGTCCCAAATAGGAAAAGGAGTACATCAAGGCTTTATATTGTCTCCCTGCTTATTTAACTTACATGCAAAGTACATCATGAGAAACGCTGGGCTGGAAGAAGCACAAGCTAGAATCAAGATTGCTGGGAGAAATATCAATAACCGCAGATATGCAGATGACACAACCCTTATGGCAGAGAGTGAAGAGGAACTAAAGAGCCTCTTGTTGAAAGTGACAGAGGAGAGTAAAAAAAGTTGGCTTAAAGCTTAACATTCAGAAAACTAAGATCATGGCATTTGGTCCCATCACCTCATGGGAAATAGATGGGGAGACAGTGGAAACAGTGTCAGACTTTATTTTTTGGGGCTCCAAAATCACTGCAGATGGTGATTTCAGCCATGAAATTAAAAGACACTTACTCCTTGGAAGGAAAGTTATGACCAACCTAGACAGCATATTAAAAAGCAGAGACATTACTTTGCCAACAAAGGTCCATCTGGTCAAGGCTATGGTTTTTCCAGTGGTCATGTATGGATGTGAGAGTTGGACTGTGAAAAAGGCTGAGTACTGAAAAATTGATGCTTTTGAACTGTGGTGTTGGAGAAGACTCTTGAGAGTCCCTTGGACTGCAAGGAGATCCAACCAGTCCATCCTAAAG